GGATTTGAGAATGGGAATAATGCAATATAGTGAGAAGGGGATGCAGAGATAACGGATTGAGCCGCCATAACTGCGAGAACCGCTTGCATTTGGGGGAAATGTCGATGATAATGGGATAACGCGAGATGGAGCTTCTGGTGGATGTGCGCCGCGGCCGCTCTGCAGTAACTACAAACTGTCTCAGATTTTATCTTTAAGAATCACAGTATTAACTACCGAAAGAAATAACAGAAAAATGAGTGATGCGAATTTGAGTATGTTTAATTGAGGTTAAAAAATTGAAAGTGCAAAATTTTACTCTACATATTGTTTAATTCAAAACAAAATTAAAAATATAAATAGATAATGTAAAGAAAATTTGTTAAGGTCAACCTCAATTTAACTCGAAAGTTAGCACTAAACTTCGATTGAGGCGGTGGGTTATAATCTTTCACCTTACTTATTGTATTGAAAAAYCATTTTATTTTCTAATAAGTATTTCAAGTAATTGAGAGCAAACAGACTATAGCCACGTTGTTTTAGTACTAAGGGTAAAATAAAAAATTTTGTATTTCAAAACTTAAACCAACTATATAATCATGGTCTATCTTTATTTTTTTTAGAGAATTGAAACATTGTTATGATTTTTTATGAATAAAAGTTAGGAAGATAATTTTCACTTCGTGGCATATATTTGTTAAAAGATGTTACAACTTTTATTTCTTTTAAATATACTATAATTGTGATAAATTTGTTTTTTAAAAATATGATAAAATCATGTTTTTTATTCAATTATTTAGAGAGTCAAAATTTGATATTGGGTAGAGAGCTAAGTGCTAGGTTTGAAATTAATATTCTTTTTTTAGTGAACAAACCCAAAGCAAAATTTTGAAAACTCATGGAAATGAGTTTAGGCACTTGTTTCTAACCAATAGGTCCATAAATTCGTATCTCTTTTGTACTTAAAAATAAATTGAAAAGTCATGTCTGGAATGATTAATAACAAAATTAAAAGGTAAATACAAATAAATTTGTGAAAAATAAAATGATAACTGAGAAAGTAAAATAAAATATTGAATTTTTAGGGCTTTTGCGATTAGGCAATTATTACGAAAACAATATACATTTTACAGTCGTTGTCCGAAATTTAAAACGAAAATATTGGAGGGGCAAAAAAAAGCTTCCCCTTCGCCGCTCGCCCGCCGAAGGAGTTCTGCTAGTCGCCAGAAGTTGGCCACTGAAAAAGTTTTGAGCTCAATTTTTCTCTCATTCATGGACTTATCCAATTCGTCTTCCGTACGAGTACTTGTACGGCCTCCGCCGGTATCAACACCCACTTCCTCGCACACGCCTCTCCCTCCTCGTACTGCCTCACCAGATCCCTCTACTTCATATTCTTCTTCCTCGCCCTCACTGTCCCTTCCACGTCTGTCCGACAGTGTGGTCGTCGTGGGGTTTATCGGGACGAGACCCGATGATTCGATTCAACTCATCAATCGGATTATTGATTCCAATGTGTTCGGGTCCGGTAACTTGGATAAGAAATTGAATGTCGAGAAAGAGGAAGTTAGAGACTGGTTCAAGCGGCGGAGGATTAGTTATTATCACGAGGAGGAGAGAGGCATTCTGTTTTTGCAGTTTTATTCCAACAAGGGTCCGGTATTCGACGCCGAAGCAGATTGTGATTCGGGGATTGAAGAACATGATTTTGGGGATCTTCAGGGAATGCTTTTCATGTTCTCCGTGAGTGCCCATCAGTTTTTCATTTGTTATTTTTTCTCTCCACGTTCTGATGTTTTGGTTCATCAAAGAGGGTTTAGCTTGGATTGTTTGTTTTTGTCCTAAACGGAGCATCCAGTGAAATGGTCGGAGTAAATTTTGTTTCAGCTCTAGGTCGTGAAACTAAAGACCTTCACCTTGTTGTTACATACTATAGAGTCGTGTCGAATGCCTACTTAATATGAAAAATATGCATCGACACCATAATTCTTAATTCATTGGTCCGTATAATTACTTTGGAAAATAGGTTGTTCCTGTGATTGATAGAGTCGCACTCTTCTAAGGTTGTGATTTCAATATGCATTTTTATCTCAAACGTTTTCCCCCTATCATTCAAATGATACCCTCTAAAAGTTGACAGTAAATTGCTCAAGTATAAAATCAAACAGAGACTGGACTATGTTATGATTTAGTGTGTCTAATTTTATTAACGTTGGTTACCAGGAAGGACCGGTCACAATATTATTGCAAGTTCTGAGATTAGTGTTAGTTTTATAGGGCCTTGATAAATAAGCAGTGGATACTACCCCCTTTACTTTCAACATATGATATGTGGCTAAACATTTGACTCAATTACCGATGCAGGTTTGCCATGTAATCATATATATTCAGGAGGGGTCACGGTTTGATACTAATATTTTGAAAAAATTTAGAGCTCTACAATCTGCTAAGCATGTTTTAACTCCATTTGTAAAATCTCGAGCTACACCACCACTGCCATCCAGGCTGCATTATTCATCTGCTTCACGGTCTGTTCCTTCAGCGGCTGTGTCTAGCAATTCTTCTCCAATTAGAAGTGGTTCTATCTTAACCCGCAATGCTTCTGGCATCTCTGTAATGTCAGGTTTAGGTTCATATACCTCGTTGTTTCCTGGACAGTGTACTCCTGTCATACTGTTTATTTTTATTGACGACTTCTTAGATGGCCCAATTACTAGTTCTAATGTGGAGGGAGCAGATACAGTAGCACTTAATCAGCCTTCGAGTTCAGATAGTACATCCAGGCAAAACTTGCCAGTTAAAGGTTCAGGATCTGTTGTTGTACTTGCTCGTCCTGTGAGCAAATCAGAAGGTGGTTTCAGGAAGAAATTGCAGTCATCACTTGAGGCACAAATTCGCTTTCTAATCAAGAAATGTCGAACACTTGCTGGTTCTGAGACCAGTCATGCAGGGTCCAGAGGTGGAGGTGCCTCAAGTTCTGCACCTTTGTTTTCACTCGATGCATCAAAAGCCGTTGTTTTGGTGGACAGGTCTGCAAATAGGAAAGCTGAGTCTCTAGAGTTTGCAACTAGCCTTGTGGAAGATGTTTTGAATGGAAAAGCCACTTCAGATTCTCTGCTGCTTGAAAGTCATGGTCAGAGTGCTAGTAAAGAGGATATAGTATCTCTAAAGGAATTTATTTATCGGCAGTCGGACATTCTAAGGGGTAGAGGGGGGCTGGTCCCTAGTACAAACAGTGGTTCAGCTGGTGGGGTTGGCATGGTTGCTGTTGCAGCTGCTGCAGCTGCTGCATCAGCTGCATCTGGAAAGACCTTTACTACTCCCGAACTTCCAAGTATGGAAATTTGGTTATCTTCAAGTCAACAACTTCTCGATGGAGTTCTCTCAGCAAAAGGCGGTTGCATAGATGAAGTGGAAATGAGTAAACGAAAACCACGTCACCGGCACATTCCTCCTGCATCAATTGAGGGAAATGCTTTGAAGGATCTAGATCCTTTAGATATTGCTGTATCCTGGTTGGAAAGTGGTAAAGGTTTGAATATGAAGTTTTCAACTTCATGGTGTGAAAGAGCATTACCAGCTGCAAAGGAGGTTTATCTAAGAGATTTACCTGCATGTTATCCCACTTCACAGCATGAAGCCCACCTGGAGAAAGCTTTGCTTGCTTTCCATTCAATGGTTAAGGGACCTGCAGTGCAACATTTTGCAAAAAGGTTGGAGGAAGAATGCAAATCAATTTGGAATTCTGGGAGGCAACTATGTGATGCCGTTAGTCTCACTGGAAAACCATGCATGCATCAGAGACATAACTCTAAGAAAGGAGATTCACCTGCAGAAACCCTGCCAAAGTCTCATTCAAGTGGATATGTCTTCCTACATGCCTGTGCCTGTGGCCGTTCACGACGACTCCGATCTGATCCTTTTGACTTTGAATCAGCAAATGTTTCTTTCAACCGTTTTGCTGACTGTGACAATTTTCTTCCAGTTGTCCAGTTACCAGGAGTAAGCATAACAGGACCCATTCAGCCATCATCATGGACTCTGATTCGAATTGGTGGTGCAAAGTACTATGAACCTTCAAAAGGTTTACTACAGAGTGGATTTTGCCCCACTCAAAAGTTCCTATTCAAATGGAAAATTAGTACGAGAATAAGGAAGACTCCAACTGATTTTACAGATAATGTAATGATGCATGGCCCTTTAATAAAGTCACTCATAGACTCTAAGGTTGAACCACACGTAAATGTAAACATGAAGAATGCAGATGTGCAACTGAAGCCAGGGGATCTACAGCCCGGGAATGATAATGAAAGAAATTCCCCAGACAACATTAAGGCTGGGGATAAAAAAGGCATCAGTGGTAGAGGTCCTCCCAACTTTGCCCTGCGAAAACCATTTTCTGAGGTGGTGGCTGGATCGTCAGGTCCAGATGTTGGATTTCCACCTCTCCAGCAGAGGAAACATTCTTCATCAGGTATGGATAAGGGCATCAAACAAAATAAGGCTGTAAATAGTTCTGAGCGAGGCTATGTTACTGTTGATCACCACGGCTCAAAGAACTCTGTAAATGTTATTAGTCTTTCGAAAAACACAAATGAGATTAACAGCAATGAGGGTTCAGATAGTAACTCCTTTCTGCAAATAGGTACTAACGTAGTTCCTATGAATGTAAATAGTTTTGAAAAAACAAAAGACCCTCTTCTGAAGCACACACTTGTATATATTGGTTTTGAGCATGAATGCCCTCATGGGCACCGTTTCCTACTAAATTCTGAGCATCTTAAGGAACTCGGATCATCTTATGCTACAACTAAAGAATCTCATACTCCTGTGCAAACTGCTGCATGCAATGATCCTTTGAAACATGGTAAAAGTGACCGTCTTGGTAAAACTCATCATAGTGTAAATACAGCAAATGGTACTTTCCCAAGTAAGCAGAGAAATTTAGAAAAGTTAAAGGATGCAGCGACTAGTGGCAGCCTGTTTTTAGATGACCAGTCAAACTACAATAGAAGGACGACAGGAAACAATCTGACATCTGTTTGTGCAACGGTCTCCAACTCTGTAAAAGACCTTGAAAAAGGTGTTAAGTCTATTGGCATTGAGGAAAATGGATGTGCTTCCTTCATGTTGAATCGAAACCTACCGATTTTCATGAACTGCCCACATTGCAAGCTCTCAAAGAATGAAAAAGATCCACCAAATGCTAAGTTCTCCGGCACAATATCTCAACTTCAAAGGATTTTCTTGGTACGTCATTGTTTTATGAGTCTGTTTTCTGATGCCTTTGGTTCTCTATAAAGTATTCTTAATGTTTTCCTTTTAAGGATTGGTTTCATCTGATGACGCATTGAACTTTATATGGGTTATTTTTGCAGTCCTTTTAGTAATTTTACCAGAATGAATAGAAGATTCTTTGAAGCCATAGGGGGAATGGGGGAAAAGCTTTTGGTGATTTTTGTTTTTGCAGTCTCATCTTGGTGCTTGGTTTTCTTGTTCTTCTATTATTACTAATATTTCTTCTTTTACAAGAAACATGAACTTATATTTGAAAAGTTAGAAGCTGCTTTCTAAGGAACATACAAAAGTAGAAAATAAAACCCCTCTAGGTTGCACCCATACTATTTGCAATCTAAGAATACAAAACCAAACTGTCATGAATGACAAACTAACGAAATCCCCTATTAATTACTAATATTTTAGAAGGCTAAAAATGAACTTGAGGCATTTTCCCTTGTAGCGATAAAGCTTAAGTCTCAATGTGATATGAGGGATAAGCCTTGATTTAAAGTAAAATAACAGTGATAATAAGCGAGCACGGGTGTCCCTGGGTATGGGGAAGTAAAACTCTGACTCCCCGTTATTTAAAAGTAGTAATAATAATAATAATAATAATAATAATAATAATAATAATATGCATAAAAATATAGTCAAGTATGACTGAACATAATGATCATATGTCACTTTCTCTAGCCAAGCTGGGCAACGTAGGCTTGTGACCCGAGTGGGGGCACCAAAGTGGTTGAAGGTTGGATCTTTCCATTGAGCTGGGCCTTCGGGAGATATCTACTGGCTCGCCCACTAAAAAAATAAAATGGGCGTTCCTTATTGCAGGGCTGTTTTTTGTATGCCCTCCCTCCTTGCTTTTGTATCTTTTTTCATTTCCAAGTGCAGTTTCTTATCAAAAAAAAATTATCACTTTCTCTAATAAAGATTCTAAATATCATTCTTAAAATCGTAATTATCACTAATACGATTGATTTATCCCTTTAACTTTTGTCTTCAATATCCTTTCAAGGCTTGGTGGTAAAAGTAGTAATGTGATGGCAGGTGACACCTTCATTTCCAATTGTGTTGGCTACACATCCAGTGATACAATTTGAGGTTTGTCCCACTTTTCTGTGAATATGCATTCCTGGTTATTTTAGTGCGGAACGTGGAATGTTGAGCTGTATATTATTTATATTGGAGTTCAAAATAGGTTCAAATTGATCTCTGGACATTCTTGTTTGTTTCATTCTTTAATATGTCTGCTTTTAGGAATTAAGAAGAAATCAATTCCTTCCATTTTGATCAAAATCCATGTCACTTCTTTGGTTTGTGATCTTTAAAGACAAGGGAGAGAAGTACAAATTATCACATCCTAACATGTTGCCAATGAGAGAAATAATAGAATCTTTAGGGCTTGGAGAGATCCAGTGAGTTTGTTTGGGAGCTTATTCCCGTAGGTAGGGATTGGTT